AACTGCTGGTGCGTGCAATATTAAATCACCTGTAGCTCTAGTCAACTTGCCTCTACACTAGGTCAAACAATTCACCTTGATCTTGTCTCGTTCGACCACACAAACTGCTGGTGCGTGCAATATTAAATCGCCTGCAACTCTAGTCAACTTGCCTCTACACTAGGCCAAACTATTCACCTTGATCTTGCCTCTACTATAGGCCAAGTACTCTCGTAAATAACGTCACATCTCATCACCATCTTGGTTTCCATCGAACGATCCATGCATTGTGATGTTGTCCCACGTCTCATGCCAACTCAACCATCACTACTTGCTTGGAAATATCAATTGAAGCTGACCCATGTGCAGTCCCATCTCTTCAATCACATCCTATGTATTCATCCCTCTAGGTTCTATCGAGACGACTGACCATCCCTTGTCCATGCTAAATTTTTTTGAAATTTGTTCTGAATAGCGGGTGCATAGTCCAACCTTCGACACATCGTCTGGGTAATAATATTCGCACACACGACCATCCAAAATATCCTTGAAAGACCCTTTTCAAAAGAAGGCGCTTGAGACGTTCATCCCACAATAATCGCCCATGTTGTGACACACGTATGTGCAACATGGTAGCTAACTTAGGCCACATGGTCTAAGGATGGTGGAGAGCTGACATCATACTTCTCTATATTACATTGTGAGACATTTCCAATCTTTCTCAAGTGGATGTCATTTTGACGAGTTGTCATATGGACCCGTGTAGCGTTCATCAATTTTCTAATTGATATCAACTTTGGTGAGCTTTCATCTTTTATATAGATGTACTGAACTCCGGAGACACATATCGAAACTCATATCGAAACACCAACTTTTGAGGTTATGACCTAGGGCTCTACTGGGCACTCTTCGAGCTTGTCTTCGACACTCATGTCGCTTCATTCTCTCAAACCTCGCGTATGCCTCAGCTTTGCTTGAATGCACACTCTTGGTGTTTTGGATGATGCACCGTCCTTCTCGGTCGTATCATGACACTTCTCCATCTTAGCACTCACGTGGCTGCATGGGTGCTGCATGAGGTTCGCCCTTTGTTTATCTTGCATGTAGAGGTCGCAACCTACTTTCTCTTAGTGAGGTTGTAACATTCTTTCTTACTTAATCTAGTCATTGACCTTGATGACTCTCTAGGGGGCACAATCGTATTGTTGATTGTGATACTCTTCCGCCTGATGACAACCCGAATAACGGACTGACTGCTCACTTCACCTAGTGACTTGTTCATGTTTTTAGAATGAATACGGAAATTTGCACACTACTTATGGCCTATCCCACTGTTGGACATTCCCTCGGTCTTCGAAATTGGCAACATATGACAAAACACAACTTGTACCATTTTTGTGGGCTATCCCTCCCTCCCTCCCTTAGAATACATTGTTGAACTTAAAAACACCAAGCTCTAGAATACCTATTGAACTTAAAAACATGTCGACGATCCTACTTTTTTTTCTTTAAAAACAAGACTGCTCCTCCATGTATGTTATTATCATTTTGTGCGAAAAAATATTTAAAGATCATTTTATATTTTTTCAATAAATCTAAACATCTATAAATTTGTAATTATAGTGGAACCACTATTGAAATAGGGAAAAACAACATCTTCTAATTAGACTCAACAGAATTCATAAACTAGAACCAACAGATTAAAACATCACTAAACTACTAAACTACCATAATAGAATTCCTAAAAACTATCTATCAACGACATTACTCGATGGGCTCTGCTGGTGCGATCGTCTACACATGAATCTCTTGGATTTACTTGAAAAATGTTGAACATAGGATGAGTATTTAAAATACTAAGTGACCCGATTGTTCGGGTTAGAAAATGTATTCACATACAACATGTATCATCATTGGTGGGACCTAATTTTATGGCTTTTCCTTGGGCTCTACTTCCTCTTTCGAGTAGAGTGGAATGCATAATACTTCTCTACACATGGATCACACACGTTTGCATGAATCTACAATGTCGACTAGCTAACATACACCCTAGGCCAAACTACGGACTAGCGCACATTCACACTACTGAAAACTAACATAAAGAAAGAAATACAATGGGACCATAGAGTACGTGTTATTAATGCATCAAAAAAATTCATCAAATCTAGCTTATTGACGATTTAGGCTCTCCTTGGAACTCCTAAGTTCGTTTTGGTCAAACATCCCCAAGTTTCGTTTCACTTAGTTTAGTTTAACCTATGATGGGGAAGAACGATGTTTAAGCTTATTTGTGGAACCAACCAAACTTATATCTTCTAATATTTTAAGGAATCTAATTTGATGCAAATTATATCCCACAAAAACAATTATTAAAATTTTGATGATTTACATAGATATTTACACATTCTTCAAAATAAAATAAGAAATATAATCTATTTAAATTTATTTACCTCATAAATTAAGCTAATATATTTTAGTGTCTAAATATCCTATCTTTTATTCTATAAAAAAAGACAGGTAAGACCAGATTTGTTAAAAAAATTACGTTGTTAAAGTTTTATTTTTATACTTCTATATATAGATATATTCGACATATTAGGTGTGATCCAAGATTAAGATCGAAAAACACTCCCAACCTGCAAATATTAACAAATTAATATTTATTTTGAAACTTAAACAATACTAAAATTAGAATCAAAGTTAAGTATAAAACATGAGGATCATCAAAAACAGAATGGAGAGGCAAAGATCAATCAAGAAATAGAAGTGAGAGTGATAAGAGTTTTATTGGGAGAGTAGCTGTGTCTGTGCAAATAGACACACAAAAAGTTATCAATTCTTTTAGACAAGAAAAAAGTAGCTTTTAGTTCATTTATACTTTTCTTCTGTGTCTATTTGCATATACACAGGGGGTGAAAATGATTTTGTTGAAATTATCAACCTTGTTGTGTATGATATTGTTTCACCCTTCCCTTTCATGGGCTACTTCTCCCACAAACATATTCATCCTTGCCGGTCAGAGCAACATGGCTGGTCGAGGTGGGGTAGAGAACAATCAAAAGGGGAAACTTGAGTGGGATGGGAAGGTCCCATTAGAGTGTCAATCCGACCCATCCATCCTACGGTTGAACCCTGCACGCCAATGGGAAATTGCACAGGAACCACTCCATTTGGGGATTGACATCGGCAAAACTCCAGGGATTGGTCCGGGAATACCATTTGCTCACCAGTTCAAAGCAAAAGCTGGACAAAAGGCAGGCATCGTGGGTTTAGTTCCTTGTGCTAGAGGGGGCACTTTAATTGAACAATGGATTAAAAACCCTAGCAATCCTAGTGCAACTTTTTACCAAAATTTCATTGAACGAATTAAAACATCAGAAAAAGAAGGTGGGGTTGTGCGTGCTTTGTTTTGGTATCAAGGAGAGAGCGATGCGGCTATGAGTGACACTGCTCACAGATACAAAGACAACTTAAAGAAGTTCATCACCGACATCCGCAATGATATAAAACCTAGATTTTTACCTGTCATTATTGTTAAGATATCCATGTATGACTTTTTTATGAAGCACGATACTCATGATTTGCCCGCAGTGAGAGCAGCTGAAGATGCGGTCCAGAAAGAGCTTCCAGACATCATTACTATCGACTCTTGGGAGTTGCCTATAAACTTTACCACATTTGAAGGCTTTTGCTTGGATCACGGTCATTTTAATACAGCAACTGAGATTGCTTTGGGTAAATGGTTGGCTGACACATATCTGGCCCACTATAGCCATTTACTCTGATCCTATTATGTGTCATTCTTTAATTTCTATTGATTGATCTATTGTTCTATCTCAATAAAATTCTTTAAATCACATCTTTGTTGAGCCCTAACCTACTTAATACTCCACCTTGATTTAATATTATTTGTGAAAGTTTCTTATTTAAATAATTAAAAATAATCCAATTTGGTTCATAATAAGATACAAAAATAGGACTATAAGTTCTAACTAGAAAAAAAAAAAAATGAGTATAAAACAATTTTCAAAATTTAGTATAAAACAATTTTCAAAATTTAGTATAAAACAATTTTCAAGACAAATTATCCAACTTGTTTGCTTAGACAACATGTACTTTAAAACAGGACTACTGACGTGCCAACTAGTCCTAATTTAGTTTATACTATATGTATTTAAAATGAGACTACCGGCCTGCAAACTATGTCTTAGTTCAACGATACATCTCGCCATAATTTGATGTACCTTTTGGGTTACCTAGTAGTTAAAATAACGTCCTAGGGCACTAATGAGTGAGAGTCTAAGACGATTCTGGATTATAGTGTTTAAATATGGTGATGGGTGTGAGATATCCTACCCATGCATTTGGCCACGAGCTAAGGCACGACACAAAATTAGATATGACCCAACTTTCCATGACCATAACTTTGGTAGCCAAGCATGCTTCCATTCTTATTGTCATGGTCATACATTTTCAATCGTATGGTGATTAACACACACGCATTTGGGCATGTACTTTAGTTGACTTAGGCCAAGGTCTTTTATAAGCAAAGTTGTATCTCATTATCATCTACCATGCATTGTGAAGTTGTCCTATGTCTCGGGACTACTTGGCCATCACGTCTTGCTCGAACACATCTCAAACATCCATTCATTTAGATTCTAATCAAGAACTTTTGAGTGTCAGGACATTATATCCTAAAGTATCTTTGTTTTTTTTAAAAAAAAATATTTATATAATTTCATAATTGATTTTAAAAGATAAAAGTTATTTTGTTTCTATTCTTAATAATAAAATGCACCATCCCATTTTCAAAAAATATTGGAAAGATAGTCCAAAAGATGAATTAACAACAAAAACATCTTAACCAAAAGTTTTCAATTTCTACAATTACTATATATAGAACTATTCCACAAATTATAAAACATGATTAAACCCTCCAAACACTCCTAAACCACAAGTATATTTACAACCTTCAACATTAAACCATGCTAAAAATAGAAATTCAAAAGGAAAAGTAGTTGTGTATGTACAAATAGACACAAAATTTTTAAAAAAAAATAGTCAAAGGCATCTACACTTTTCTTTCTATGTTTATTGCATAAACACATGGGATCAAAATGGTTTTGTTTAGATGGTCAATTTGGGCAGGTAGGATGATAACATATTCAGAGCAATATTGCTGGTCGAGGTGGGGTTGAGAAAGATCATACCGGATAACTTGTGTGGGATGAGGCTTAATCTTACCCAATCTTATGATTGAGCCCTGAACATCAATAGGAGATAGCACTAGCACCTGTCCATGACGAGATCGAAATCAACAAGACTGTTAGAGTTGTTTCAGCAATAGTATTTGCTCGCCAACTACAAGTGAGATCTGAGTCAAAGGCAGGCGTTGTGGGTTTAGTGTCTTGTGCCAGAGGTGGGACTTTGATTGAAAAGTGGATTGAAAATCCTAGCAATCCTAATGCAACCTTCTACCAAAATTTCATTGAACGGAATCAAAGCATCAGAAAAAGATGGTGGAGTTGTGCGTGCTCTTATTGCAAGTGACACTGTTCGTAGATATAAAGACAACCTAAAGAATTTCTTCGTGGACATCCACAATGACATAAAACCTAGATTTTTACCTATCATTCTTGTCAAAATAGCCGTCTATGACACATATATACTCATGATTTACCGTAAGAGCAACAGAAGATGTTGTCCAAAAAGAGCTACTCGACATAGTGACCATCGACTCCTTGACTTTAAGTAAACACACACATAAAGGCTTTAACCAAGATCATGGACATTTTAATACCAAAGACTAAAATTGCTTTGGGTAAATGGTTGGCTGATACCTACCTTACATTTCCCACTATGGTCATTTACTATAATCTTATTATTAGCCTCTATGGAATTAGTTCTACCATTCTATCTCAATATATAAATTCATCTTTCCACCACATTTTTAAACCTCTATATATTATAATCTTTAGATAATTAATATTCATATATCTCACTTGATAAATTAATTATTAAAAAAATTAATAGTTTAAATCTCTTTATATTATAATTAATTATATTTTTAATTTAAAAAAATACAACATAACTCTTAAACAATTTTATTGGCTAAAATCGAACGCTTCAAATCATATGGTGTTGAGAGTAAACACATGAGTTCTACACGCTCATGACTAATCTTGAAGAGAACTCAAGCTCTATTATATTTTTTACTCAATCTCCATGTCTTCGCCAAACCTTCGAAAATATTCTTTTTAGCTAGACCGAACTTAATTTATGTGAAACTAAGTTCTTATTTCCATCATTTAAGCACTTAAAGTATGACTCACGCCCTTGTACAATGATCCATCGAGAGCTTTATTGATATGTGTTTAACCCTTTGTTTAGTCAAAATTACATTAAAGTGCTTATTTGAAGCTTAGTAGGTGATTTAGGAAAATTTTATGTAAACTAGAGTTTATTGAGCCATTATAATACTTACCACATACTAACTCAACAGTGTTAACCAAAAGGTTTCAAGTTCCATGGTGCTTCATGATGTCATCTCGAGCCACCAAATATCATCACTCTATGCAACTTGCTTAGACATGCTTTTGTAGAACCAACAAACTTTATATTTGGAACCATCCAAACATCTATCCATCTGCGAACTACTTAGATATTAATCCTTCCGTGTCCATGTAATGCCATTTTTAAATATCATGTCAGATGACCCTATATTTCAACCTTTCGCTCAAGGGATGAGCCACATTATCAAAACACTCATGCCACCAAGACACTTTGAGAACCTATATTCAAATTAAGTGCCCAAACAACTAAACAACAACTTCGAAATCATATCTCAAATAGCAATATAGAAGGAACATTTAGTATGATGTATGCCTTCGGGCTACCTTAGACCAACAAAATAAGCAAGCTTACGAGTGGAATGTCTTCGGGCTACCTTGGATGAATAGTATGATGTATGTCTAACACGTAACTTAGTGGCTTATTTACGCTTTATTATTTGTGATATGATATGCTTTTGATCTATTTTAATGCATGCATTTTTAGTGTATTGACTCATGCATCTTATGATACTATTACCATGTTATGCCCTATAAATATAAATGATAGGCTATACACATGTATATATCTCATAAGAAATTCATGTCATGAAAAGTATGGAAGTATGATGTGCATCATGATCACGTACCATGATTCAAAATTTGAGACCTAATATATTTTGTATATCATGAGTACGAGTTACTTCCTTAGTATGTTATGTACTGATAGTTACACCATATTATAATACAGGCTCATTTATTTTTGTTTGTTTTCACAGTTGGGTGAGCGAGCCCTAGCATGTAGCTAGATTAAGGTTAAGTATACGATCACACTAGGGGATTCAAACGCACAACCCTACCCAAAAAAAAAAAATAGAGATCATGGAATAGTCATCAAATGTAGGTCCCACCATGAGCCATATTACATATAATTGCATACTCAACATATGTATAGATAACGCGTCACGTATGGAGGCCATAGAACTAAGTTCGATAGCTAGTTTATCTACGTATAACAAACCTATGTATATTTATTATTAATAAAATTTATTTTGATTATAGAAAACACTTGGTTAAAAATGTAATTATTATAACCGGTTTAGTTAAAGTTTTCTATTTATATATATAGGATAGGAGGATGATTAAAACAGACAAACACTTACAAACCACATATATATTCATAGAAAGTTAAATGATACTTAAAATAGTATTAAGTTTGAGTATAAAGGAAAAAGATCACAAAGGTAGAGAGGCTAAGGCAAGAATCAGCCAACAACTAACGAGCTATCGAAGTTGGAGAGGTAGAGTGTTGAATGTGCAAATAGTTGTTCGGGGTCTACTTGCACACATACAAGGGATCAAAATGGCTTGGTTGAGATTGGCAATTTGGGTATGTATGATGTTATTTTACCCTTCCCTTTTAGGGGCTACTTCTCCCAAGAACATATTCATTCTCGCTGGACAGAGCAATATGGCCGGTCGAGGTGGGGTTGAGAAAGATCACATGGGACAACTTGTGTGGGATGGGTATATTCCACCCGAGGCTTATTCTGACCCAACAATCTTACGATTTAGCCCTGAAGGTCAATGGGAGATAGCACTAGAACCTGTCCATGACGGGATCGATATCAACAAGACAGTTGGGGTTGGTTCAGCAATAGTATTTGCTCGCCAACTACAAGCGAAATCTAAGTCCGAGGCGGGCGTTGTGGGTTTAGTGCCTTGTGCTAGAGGTGGCACTTTGATTGAAGAGTGGATTAAAAATCCTAGTAATCCTGAAGCAACCTTCTACCAAAATTTCATTGAACGAATCAAAGCATCAGAAAAAGATGGTGGGGTTGTGCGTGCTCTTATCTGGTTGCAAGGTGAAAGTGATGCAGCTGCAAGTGACACTGCTCATAGATATAAAGACAACCTAAAGAAATTCTTTATGGACATCCGCAATGACATAAAACCTAGATTTTTACCGATCATTCTTGTCAAAATAGCCGTCTATGACACATATATGAAGCATGATACTCATGACTTACCAGCGGTGAGAGCGGCAGAAGATGCAGTCCAAAAGGAACTACCAGACATAGTGACCATTGACTCCTTAAATTTGGTTAACACGGTCACACATGAAGGGTTTAACCAAGATCATGGTCATTTTAATACCAAGACTCAGATTGCTTTAGGTAAATGGTTGGCAGATACCTATCTTTCCCACTATGGTCATTTACTGTGATCTTATTATTTGTCTCTACTGAATTGACTTACTATATTACCTCAATTTATAAAATTGTATTTAAGATTTCAAAAATGTTATTTGATTTTAGAGTAATTTTAATTTGATTTTGAATCTATATTATTCAAATAAATAAATTATTAAGTTTGGTGAGATGTGAATTTAATAATATTCAAATAATTTTAAGATGCGTAAAATTGGGAACATTATTTTTCTTCTCAAATCTCAATCTTTTGTTAATAAAGATGATGCATATTCATTTTGAAAAATAATTCTATTATTTGATAAATAAAAAAAAAAGAATTGTTATATATTAAAGTATGCTTTATTATTAAAATCTTTATTTTGAAAATTGATTAAAAGAATTTAGCCCAATTTTAAAATTTTAAAATGACTAAAAGTGGCTTTCAAAAGTATTTTCTTTATTTGTAATTTGACTAAGGTCGTACTTTAAAAATATTAGAATATATTAATTATAATAATTAGTTATGAAATATATCTTTAGTTATGGAATATATATCCGATATTATTGGAGATCTTATTGGTTGCGTTCATCTCAATTCTATTTCTCATTCTTAATAAAAATAAATAAATAAAGTTACAAACCATATTAATTTTGAAAAATGAAAATGCTCCTATTATTTTATTTCTAATTTCTATTTTCCATAAAGTGACAAGAGAGATTCTTTTCATAGTTTATTAATGGTGATCTTTTTTTCTCTTAAATTTTATTTATTAGAGTGTTTAAATAATTTAGAATAGGACCTATCTAAATTATAAATATTTTGGTTAGTTTGAATTAGATTGAATTTTAAAAAAAATCGAAAATTCATATTTGTTTGTAGATTGAATTAGATTGAATAAAAGATGGGGGGACTCAACCGTCTTCCGAAAAGGGATGCCGCTATATTGAAGAGACAATTATCTCACTTGCAAACATATCTGGACAGGATTAAATATATGATGGGGTTACCCGATATTGTAATAATCGTTGATCAACAAGAAGAATATCGAGCTCTTCAAGAATGTATCACGTTGAGAATTCCAACTATTTGTTTAATTGATACAAATTGTGACCCGGATCTCGCAGATATTTAGATTCCAGCGAAATAGGGTTGGGTTGTGAACTTTATTTAATTTAGATGGCTTGAATCGCCAATCCAATTAACTAGAAATTTCAGAGGAGATCTAGAAAAATTTCGAACCCAACAATTTTTTTTAATTCATGGAAAATAAGTTTAGTTCATGTTTATATAATTGATTGGCCTACCTTTTAATCTTTTTATAAAAAGTATATATATTACCTAAAATGATTTTAATACAAATAATTTGATAAAGTTTAGTTAATTAAATTTAAATTTAAAAGGAATAAATGAGACAAAGAAAAAGGAAAATAAATGGAAGTTACGTGAAAATGGGAAAGCCGGTGGAGGGGTTTTTGGCAGTTTTATTGAGTGAAGGATGCAAATTCCAGGTGGCAGTACATAATTGGTGAGTAGCAGAGATTACAGGCTGGACTGACATGATAGCAAAGCAAGGGCGTTGTTCCCGCGATTCTGCTACTCAAGTTTTGTCGTTCTCTTGCCAGCTCAGCAACGAATTGCCATTTGTATATATCCTTTTTTAAAATAATATAAAATAATTATTTCCAAATGCTGTCCAGCCTGTCTTAGTCAAACCCCTCCGCTCCTATCCAACCGTACCCACCCCCCCCATTCAAATTATTCTTATCCTTTTTCCTTTTTAATTAAATAAATAAAAAAACCACGTTCGAATTTTAATTTAACGTCCTTTTCCAACGGCTCCCTCTTTCCATTTTTTAATTAGTTTAATTTTATAATTTTTCAAAATGCGGTTATTTTTTTTTTTTTTTTTTTTACCATTTAACTGCCGTGGTGTATTAGTCTAAATGGGTCCCAGCTACGTCAAAACACGCGCTGTATTTATTTGACACGTGTCTATAACAGCTGTATGCGATTAACTACCTTCCCTCGAAGCATCCTCTACTGGAAACAACCGGCTCAACCGGTCATTCTTATCCTTTCTCATATAAATACCCTCTTTTCTTTCTTCACTTCTTCTTCAACAAACAGGGTGAGGCTCCGCCTCCACCGCTTCTCCAAATCCTTCTCTTGTTCTTCTTCTGTACAGATTTTCGTAAGGGTTTCTTTCTTTTTCTTTTTCTTTTTCTTTTTGTGGATTTGAATTTGTTATTTAGTATTGTTAGAATCTTTGTTCGATGGATTCGGTGAGGAAGGATTTGGATCGGATTAAGGGTCCGTGGAGTCCTGAAGAGGATGAATCGTTGAAGAGGTTGGTTGAAAGCTATGGACCGAGGAATTGGTCGTTGATTAGTAAGTCGATTCCAGGTCGATCTGGAAAATCCTGCCGTCTCCGGTGGTGTAATCAGCTTTCTCCTCAGGTGGAGCATCGGGCGTTTACTGCTGAAGAGGATGAAGCCATTCTCAAAGCTCATGCCAAATTTGGTAATAAATGGGCCACGATTGCTCGTCTTTTGAACGGCCGTACCGATAACGCGATTAAGAATCACTGGAATTCGACGCTTAAGCGTAAATCCTCCGCTATGGGTGAAGATTTCAACGATCCGCCATTGAAGAGATCCGCCAGTGTTGGTCCGGGTCCTGTCGGGTTTGGATTCAACCCGAGTAGTCCATCCGGATCTGATTTGAGCGATTCGTCTCTATCGCCGCCCGTGTATAGACCTTTAGCTAGAAGCGGTTCGATTGTTAACGATCCTCCCACCTCGCTCTGCCTGTCATTGCCAGGATCGAATTCGACATCCGGATACGGGTCAGATTCGGTAGCGAGCCCGACCCTGAAGATACCCGAGGCAACTCCTCCGGTAGGTACTACAAAGGAATCGGAGGTATTCAGTGCGGAGTTCTTGAGTGCGATGCAGGAGATGATCAAAATCGAAGTGAGGAAATACATGTCTGGGATTGAGGAGAAGGGTTGGAATGTGCAGAGCGAGGCCATCGGAAACGCTGTAGTTAAGCGGATTGGAATAAGCAAGGTCGATTAGCAGAAACGCCATAAACCGAACCCCACCCCTCCATGTTCTACAGAAATCACAATAATTTTGGCAGTGTACAGAGAAGAAGAGCAATGGATGAAGGTGTTTTAGAGTGTTCCAATTCCATACAAGGATGTTGTTCAAAACTTCTTTTAATCTTTGATTTATTGCAGAGAAGAAGAGAAAGAAACAATTCTCTTAAACTTCGTTTAAGTTTTTCAGTCCAATGTCGTTTGTTTTTGAAAAGCTGCAAATACATATAAAATTAATAGCAAATAAAACCCGATATAGTGGAAGATAAGGGAATTTCAAAGTGCACGTAGAACATGTTAGATGAAATACTATCTCTATTAGCATGAGACTTTCTTTTGGGGAATCCCAAAGCAAAGCCAATGATCGTTTATGCGTAGAGTCGTATTCATCTAACATGGTATCAAAGTTATGCTCATGCCCTAAACTTAGTCATGTAAATAGAGGTCATGCCTACCCGTGACATAAATTGGGGACAATATGTTGGAGAAATGTAATTGAAAATGGGGTCATCAAGAGCTGACTAGTTGGTCTTTGGACTTATCCTAAAATACAGTTCAATATATGATTTTATAAATCATTTTACCATCAATTCTTAGATATCGATTGCTTTTTATTATCCTTTTAAAAAAATAATTATTTGGTAAGTTTTCATTTTCTAAAATTGTAATAAAAAAAATCAAATTTTAATGATACCAACATATGGGTGGTAGTATTTTTGTGCCAGTTTTGCTCGTAGGATGAATGTTTTATTTATGTTAGCATATGCAAGTAGGTACTATGATTTATCGAGAGACATGTGAATAGAGTAAATTATGAGTACACTTGAGGCATGATTGCATAACATTCTATCTCGTGTATATCATATGATTGTACGATTGTGGTATTAGTAGAGGATTATGAGTTAATCTTTAATGAGAGACCTATCACTCGCTATGAGGTTCACATGCATATTTTTTTAGACTTAGTATGACTTATATGTACCTAGCAATGCAATACGTACACTAAGTGGGTGCGATTAGAGGATCTCCAACAGGGTCTCTCTCGTATCACCTTCTCATTGTTATACTACTAGGGTCAAGCCGACTACCTTAGTAGTTTATCTGTGGCAAAGAACGTTTCATATGATAGCAAACTAGATTTGAAAATGAGACAACTTACACTAAAACTAGAATGAAATAACCCAGATTACCCGTGAGTTTAACAATATCTTGGTCTTATCAAATGGCGGCACGTAATCAATAATTTACTAGGAGCGTGAAAATATTGATAAAAAAAGAAAATAAATAATAAAAATAATAAATAGTTCATATAAATTAAATTTTCAAGAAACACAAAAAAGGAAATATTAAATAATAATAGAGAATTTAGTAGTTTGGAAAGTGCTTAGGTGTAAAGTTGTGGTGACCTCCTTGCAACAACTTCAATCCTTATACCACAAATTATCCTACTTCTCCCTAACGAGGTCTAGATACTTAAATGAATTGAGACCACGTTAAAGATTTAAAGTAATTTTATGTTGGATGACCTTTATGAATTTTCCTGAAATGCATGTGTGAGGACAAAACATGCTAGAAGAACTCATGTTGGTATGTTGGGAGGAGTAAGTAACGTGACCATGTCACAGAAGATGTAGGAAAAATTGAACAAATGAGTTCAAATCTATGGTGACTTATCCTCAAGTCCACCGTTCTCCTCTCCAACCAATGTGAGATCTTACAATTCATTCCCTTGGGAGGCCAGCATCCTCGCTCACATATTGTCCAGTGTTTGTCTTTGATACCATTTGTAACAGCTTAAACCTACAATTAGCAGATATTGTTCATTTTAACTCGTTACATATCGTCGTCAACCTCATGATTTTAAAATGCAACAGTTAGAGAGAGGTTTCCACACATTTATAAGAAATGCTTCATTCTCCTTTCAATGTGAAATTTTACATACTCGAATACTAACCTTTTATGAATTATTGATAATGAAATGTTAGTTAGA